CACACACACACACAACACACACACACACACACACACACACCACACACACACACAGTCGTGTCATGTTCAAAGGATGCATGAATCTCCTGCATGCCGACACGCTGATAAACCCTTTAACACACTAATTAACCCAGACACACAACACACACACACACACACACACACCACACACACACACAACACACACACACAACCACCACACACACACACTGCCACACAAAATACACACACACACACACGCTTACACACACACACACAAAGTTTGTATTATTTATTTGCCAAAGACCAAAACTTCAAACACTCTCTCTCTCTCTCTCTTTCTATATGTCTCTCGCTCTTGTTCGCCCTCTCTCCCTCGCTCACCTTTAAACACTGTTCACCTGTTGGCTCTACTGCAGCTTTACGTGTGTTTAGTGTGTGTGTTGTGTGTGTGTGTGTGTGTGTGTGTGTGTGTGTGTGTTGTTTACAGCCGTTTGTATTTTCTAACACACACACAAAAAGTGGTTTTGACCTCTAGGTCTGTAACACAGAAAGGCATTGTGGGAGTTATCACACAACACACAGACAGAGCGTGAGTGTGTGTTTGTGTGTGTGTGTTGTGTTTATATTTGCCTTCAAGCTTCACTGTGCGTGTGTGTGTTTACTGTGTACAGCTGGCAGTGAGCTGATAACAGCCCTATTAGAAATATTAATATACCCTGAACCCCAGAGAGACACACACAGTGTGTGTGTGTGTGTGTGTGTGTGTGTGTGTGTTCCCTGTGGTCATCCCTAGTTGGAGAAAATCAATTCAAAGCCTGAAATGCTGCTGTTTCATTGGCTCACAGCTGTGACTGACATTTAATGTTATACTCGCTTGAAAGACCAAAAAACACAAACAGAACAGCAGGAGAACCACCTGTCTGCAGGTAAAGAACAGCAGGAGAACCACCTGTCTGCAGGTAAAGAACAGCAGAAGAACCACCTGTCTTCAAGTAAAGAACAGCAGGAGAACCACCTGTCTGCAAGTAAAGAACAGCAGACGAACCACCTGTCTGCAGGTAAAGAACAGCAGGAGAACCACCTGTCTTCAAGTAAAGAACAGCAGGAGAACCACCTGTCTGCAGGTAAAGAACAGCAGGAGAACCGCCTGTCTGCAGGTAAAGAACAGCAGGAGAACCACCTGTCTGTAGGTAAAGAACAGCAGGAGAACCACCTGTCTGCAAGTAAAGAACAGCAGGAGAACCACCTGTCTTCAAGTAAAGAACAGCAGAAGAACCACCTGTCTGCAGGTAAAGAACAGCAGGAGAACCACCTTTCTGCAAGTAAAGAACAGCAGGAGAACCACCTGTCTGCAGGTAAAGAACAGCAGGAGAACCACCTTTCTGCAAGTAAAGAACAGCAGAAGAACCGCCTGTCTGCAAGTAAAGAACAGCAGAAGAACCACCTGTCTTCAAGTAAAGAACAGCAGAAGAACCACCTGTCTGCAGGTAAAGAACAGCAGGAGAACCACCTGTCTGCAAGTAAAGAACAGCAGGAGAACCACCTGTCTGCAAGTAAAGAACAGCAGAAGAACCGCCTGTCTGCAAGTAAAGAACAGCAGAAGAACCACCTGTCTTCAAGTAAAGAACAGCAGAAGAACCACCTGTCTGCAGGTAAAGAACAGCAGGAGAACCACCTGTCTGCAAGTAAAGAACAGCAGAAGAACCACCTGTCTTCAAGTAAAGAACAGCAGAAGAACCACCTGTCTGCAGGTAAAGAACAGCAGGAGAACCACCTTTCTGCAAGTAAAGAACAGCAGAAGAACCACCTGTCTTCAAGTAAAGAACAGCAGAAGAACCACCTGTCTGCAGGTAAAGAACAGCAGAAGAACCACCTGTCTTCAAGTAAAGAACAGCAGAAGAACCACCTGTCTGCAGGTAAAGAACAGCAGAAGAACCACCTGTCTGCAAGTAAAGAACAGCAGAAGAACCACCTGTCTGCAGGTAAAGAACAGCAGGAGAACCACCTGTCTGCAGGTAAAGAACAGCAGGAGAACCACCTGTCTGCAAGTAAAGAACAGCAGGAGAACCACCTGTCTGCAAGTAAAGAACAGCAGAAGAACCACCTGTCTGCAGGTAAAGAACAGCAGGAGAACCACCTGTCTGCTGGTAAAGAACAGCAGAAGAACCACCTGTCTGCAAGTAAAGAACAGCAGGAGAACCACCTGTCTGCTGGTAAAGAACAGCAGGAGAACCACCTGTCTGCAGGTAAAGAACAGCAGAAGAACCACCTGTCTGCAGGTAAAGAACAGCAGAAGAACCACCTGTCTTCAAGTAAAGAACAGCAGGAGAACCACCTGTCTGCAGGTAAAGAACAGCAGGAGAACCACCTGTCTGCTGGTAAAGAACAGCAGGAGAACCACCTGTCTGCAGGTAAAGAACAGCAGGAGAACCACCTTGGAGGTACCTGA